TACTCGAGCCACAGGTGCATGGACACCTACATGGGCTCATGGTGGCATTGCACATCGTAGCCGCGAGAGCATCATCACCACTATTATGTGCAACAAATGGAGAGCCGAGTGTAATGGTAAAAGTTTAGTAGTGAGCAATTACGACTGCACGAACGCTTTTGCGGCCACAGACAGACATCGTCTCGAAGTTCAGGTAGAAGAACAGGCCAGCCCAGAGGATGCCCCCTTCGCCGTCGCCACAGTCCGCCAGGCCACGATGCACATGCAAACGGCTGATGGGAATATTGGCATACGATCTACTACTGGATCACAGATGGGCTTCACGACCGCCCCTCGGGACTTCATGAACACCTACAATAAGGAGGTTGAGGGATGTAGAGAGGGAGAGAGAGAACACGAAGAGCATCGTTGGTTTCTTACTAGCGACCCCCGCGACCCCGACCAGCCCCTCATAGACAACCAGATCAGTGTATTCATGGACGATATTACAAAAAGTACGGTCATCGAAGAAGGAGCGTCGGCGGAGGAGGCCACGCACATATTGAATGAGAGCACAGCTAGACTAGAATACTTGGCCAGAGGTAAGTGGACGCTCAACCCCAGCAAGACCAATCACCTGCTCGATCTTCGCGGGCGCGGTCACTATCAACCTACACGTAGACTTAGACGGTCTAAAGATCTCCATGGGCAGGCTTTGAGAGAGATGAGAGTGCTGGGCCCCCACCTCCCTAGCGAGCAGGGGATGTTGAGCGAGGTCCTCCGCCGATGTCAAGCAGCGCGACAGGCATGGCGACTGTGCGGGTGTTTCTGGACGTCAGCAACAGCTAAATGCATTAGACGGGCAATGTTCCAGGCCTTTGTAGTTGAAGCGGCACTTAGTGGTTTATCACCATTCGTCATCCCAGACAAGTTCACCAACATCATAGGCCAGACGCTTGGTAAGTTTCTGAGGGTGTTGTCTAAGGGAGAGATGAGCTGGGAGACGGAGCAGGGCGAAAGGAGATGCAGGACGACGAGGTTTGTATTTAAGTCGTGGAAGACACCCCGCAGTGCCACACAGCTACGAGTCAGGCGCATCCGCAACTACTTAAGATGGGCCAGATTTCCTGAAGACCACCACGCAGTTGTTTCGGCAGTCTTTGGAACAGCGTGGATTGACACTGTCCCCAGGCTCTCGCCTACTTACAACATATGCGCCGACTCGACCCCCTGCCTGGGCCAAACAGTATTTAGAGGATCTGGAGCTGCTAGCGACAGTCGACCCTGAGTTTGCCACGTGGTTCCGAGAGCGAAGCGACGACATCAATCTACTACGGCAGGGCAGCATTGAGAACGAGCTTTTCCTGAAAACAGACCCGTCGTATTTGAACGCCATCGAGAGGCACGGGGAGGTGGAGGAGACCACGGAGGGGGAGGAGGAGCAGACGGTGGAGCTGTACGCAAAACCCTACTGGTGCGATCATACGAAGGAGGAGGAAGGGGACAACATGGTTACTTGCGGGAAACGATTCCAGAACATAACAGGGCTGATCGCGCACCGTCGAGAGGCACACGGGGTCACCCCCCTCTTGAGCAAAATAATAGTCACCAACCAGTGCCCGTGGTGCAGAAGCTGTTTCGTAGACAGAAGCGGAGCTCTCGACCACGGAAGACGGGCGGCCCTCAGATATGGCAAATGCTACATAGACAGATCTAAATGGAATCACGAACTTCAATTACCAGAGGATCTTACCTGCAGGGTCTGTAGCTTTGTGGCTCAAGATTTCGACAGCTTCCAGGAGCACGTGAGGACGCACCTCCCAGGACCAGAGTCGGTGGTCGAGGCCGCCGCCCTTGCCGGCAGAAACCGACCCCTTTCAGTCAAAAGGGGTCGGTTTATTATCTGGCAATCCTCAGACGTCAACGAGAGCGAGATAGAGGATGGCGTGGAAGGTGAAGCGACCCGCTGGACCAGAACCAGAGGAGCAGCGAGAAAAGAAAGAGGCTCGGCAGCAGGAGGACAAGGGCGGCCTAAAGGGCAAGGGCGGCGGCAATCGCAAGAAGGACCAGGACGGCGTCGACATGAGGGAGGCCCTCGTCACGGTGCAGAAGCTGGTGCTGAGGAACAGCCAGGAGAACAGGGACCTGGCGAACGGGGTTCTCGACTTCTGGCTAGTGCCAGGAGACTCAGCCTTGGTGCAGGCCGGGGCCGCCACAGGACAGGACTACAATGCCACGGTCAAGCGCCTCGGCAAAGGGCACGGTCAGGGCCCGCCGCACGTGCACATCGCGATGTCGGTGGTGGAGAAGGCGGCGGACCTGCTGGACAAGAGCGACAAGTATCAGGCGGAGAGCAAAGGTATCCTCTCGGAGTGGGTGCAGGTGGCCAGCGGAGACCACGGTCAGAGATTGATCGACGCCACGTTCAGCCTCTTCCGCATCAAGAAGGCCTACCAGAGGGAGAGCGACATGCAGGAGATGTACAAAGTCATGTACGGCATCAGGCCGATGGCAGACTACAAGACGGCTTTGAGGCTGGACAAAGTGGCAGAGGCCGACATCATCACGCTACGCCAGTTCACACCCCACATCCTCAGGGAGGCGCTGAACCACGCGTGGTTCTTGCAGAAGGGCGTGATGCCGATGGGCGCGGGGCCGAAAACAGAGCTGGAGAGGGTCGTCGAGGCACAGTTGAAAGCGCTCATCAAGCAAGGGACGATCACCAAGTACTGAGAAGCCGTTTTTCACAGACAGTGCGCGACATCGCGCACGACCCGAGGAGACAGCAGACACTCAGAGCTATGGCGGCAGGAGGGAGCGAGCATGTCAAGAGACTCTTGGCACAAGTGACAGAGTAAGGCAGGCGCTCCACGATTTGCTGCAATATGACCAGATTTCATGTGACGCCACCCCTGGTGGCAACGGCGCGCCTCCTCGAGAGGCAGCTCGCGCCGCTCCCGATACTGAATATCCAGGGGGGGGCGGCTTAGACTCAGGGGATCCTCCCCACTAGAGGGAAATCGCCCCGAGCCTTCGCACTCTCCCCCACTTTACCTCTACCCACTGGGGATCCTCCCCGCCGACGGGGCATCACGCGCGGGCGGGCCTCGCCGTGTCGCCTCATGCCGTGGCGGCCTGCGCCCTGCAGGCAGCCCAGCCTCCATATAGAACGGAGGGGCCACCCGAGCAGCTGCAGAGACAGACTGAGGGCCCCCAACTGAGCCACCACCACCACCACCTCCTCCCTCCTCCTCCTCCTCCTCTCCTCCTCCTCCTCCTCCTCCTCCTCCGCCTCCTCTCTCCTCCTCCTCCTCCTCCTCCTCCTCCTCCTCCTCCTCCTCCTCCTCCTCCTCCTCCTCCTCCTCCTCCTCCTCCTCCTCCTCCCCTCTCCCCTCTCTCCCCCTCGTTGCCCTTCCCTTGCCCTTGTGCTCCCTTGCCCTTGGCCGCTGCGCGCTCTCCCTCCCTCTCCCCCCCCTGCCTCGTTCCTCCTCTCCGCCCCCCGTCCCTCCGCCTGGCGGCCCGGTCTGTCCTGTCCCGTCGTCCTCCCTCCCTCCCCTCCTTTAAAACGACACGAAGATCGGGACAAAATCGGATCGGGATAACTCGAAATCTCTGAGAATCGGCGGGTTGGAGGATGTATTGGGCGCCGCGGCCGCTCCAGAGCGTTCCGGAACGCTCTGAGAGCGCTCCGGAACGCTCTGGAGCGATTTATCCCGATCCTAGCCCTGTTTTATCCTTCCCTTTCTCGCTCCTCGGCTCCTCGCTTTCCTGCCCGTCTCTGTCCCTTGACCCGGCCCGCGTTTCTTTGTCGGCCCGTCCCTCGGTCCGTACGAGGAGGCGCGGTGCCCGCGCTGCCACGCAGGCGAATAGCCGGGCGCCGGGGGCCCCAGCTGCCGCGTCTCGGGCGTCGCGAATGAAACCGGACCAGCTCGCGTCGCAACTGGGAAGGTCGCCGCCGCAGGCGCCTCGAGCGCAGCTGCCGCCGCGACGGGGGACGCTGGCCCCGCCGCTGCTCCACCGCCTGTTGCTGCGCATGTTCCTGAACACGATGGGGTCGAAAGGTCGGGAGTTGGGGGAGAAACATCGCCTGCGACGCTCATGACGAGGAGCACCCGCCCCATAAGTGCGGCGACGGCAACGACGCATGACGACGACGACGTCCCTCGTTCTCCTCGCAGGGTCCCAGCGCAGATCTGCAACATCCGCGCCGTACTTCGACAATGTATGCTTATGTAATCGCTACGTGTTCGGATGGAGGAGGACGGAGGAGGACGGAGGACGATGACCCCTATCCCAGGCTTCGTGGGGTTTTCGAATGGACCAACAATTTCGGGTCAAACCTTGAGATATACGATGGGAGGCGTCCACCATCGATATGGGTGCGTCGGAATAGCCCCCCTCCCTTGGGTGTATCCCAGAGGTCGCCCCTTTTCTGAGCGGCCAATCTTTTCGGGCGCCACTCGGGAGTTGGGGGAGAAAGATCGCCTGCGAGATGAGGGAGAGGAGGAGGGGGAGGGGGAGGGGGAGGGGGAGGGGGAGGAGGAGGAGGAGGAGGAGGAGGAGGAGGAGGAGGAGGAGGAGGAGGAGGAGGAGGAGGAGGAGGAGGTGGAGGAGGAGGAGGAGGAGGAGGAAGAGGAGGAGAAAGAGGAGGAGGAAGAGGAGGAGGAAGAGGAGGATGAGGACCCCCCCAACCTCTTTTCTCCCCCGTCCTACCCATGGCAGTGGCGGTGGAACATCGGCCCACCAGACGAGGGAGCAAAGTGAGCGTTTTTTTTGTATTCGGCGTTTCGACATTGGGCGGCAAGGTGGAGGGAGGACTCCAGACCTCTGCTCGGTGCGTCTGTATGCAAGTGTGCAGCCTCTGGGGAAGACTCCATCCGCTCGAAACAGGCGCCAAAAACAGCCAAGATCCACTCCAGGAAAGGTGGGGAGAGGGGGGGGGGCGAAAACCCGCGCCGACCGGCAAAACAACGAATAAAAAAACGACCACAAACTGGGGAAAACGAATGGTACGGATACCGCTACCCACCGGACCTTTCCCTGGGTGCGTTCTGACCAGAATTTCGGGGCGAGTCCAGCGGTGGCGACGAGGGCCTCCCAGGAGGCCGAAAAGGGGGAGAAACGAGCGGAGGGTAGAGGTATGGATACCTTTTCTCCTCTGACGAACTCCGCGCCTGCTTCGTGTAGGGCCCCAGCCGCTCCGCGATCTGCTTCTGCCCCGCGCCAGTGAAGTCCGCCCCGGCCCCTCCCTGGGGGCCCCCCTCGGCGGGCATGGGGCGCTGGCGAGATGGCCTCCGGCCTCGCCTCGTCGTGGGCCCGCGGCCATACCCAGAGCCCCAAATTTGAAGTCGGGCCTGTCCCTCTACAGGAGAAACATTCAAAAATAGTTGAACAAAAATAGTCTGGGGGCGATTGTTGTCACTACTTCTGGCTCTTCTAGATTATGTTTTGACCACGATATATTCGTCCAAAATCCGCCTGTAGGGGGACACGCCCGACTTAACCCGAATTTCCTCGCTCCGCCCTTCTCCTCCCTTCCGCCTCCGCGTCGCACGCAGGGCTCTGGAGGATCCTCCCGTCGATAGCAGAACGGGCCGTCCAAGTTGAAGGTCTGTTGCGAAAAGTCGGCAATGCCCTTTGTCGTTTTCACTGGGGAAGCCAGGGTAACGGTACTACTACTCACCAGACCTCTCTAGCAGCGTATTCTGACCAGAAGTACGAGGCGAATCCAGGGGTGGCGACGAGGGCGTCCCAGGAGGCCCAAAAAGGGGAAGACGCGGCAAGGGTAGCAGTATCGGTACCTGATTCTCCTATGAGGATATCGGCGGTGCCCTTTGACTGGGGGAGATCGCCGTTGCCGCCGCCGACGTCGGCCGTGCCGTCGCCTAGGCGGCCGTGCGCGGGAGCGCCCCCTGGCATTGACGGCGATGGTCGTCGTCAGGCTACCCCGCCGCCTCCGAGGGGCAACTTGCGGGTGGGGCGCAGGAAGGACATACAGTCAAAACTGATAGTATACAGGGATTCGCGATGAGGATGCAAGGGCCTCGGAAGGCCACTGCCGAGGCTTCCACGAGCGGGGTGGGCCGTCGAAAGTGGTTAAGGATGGACCGACGATGCACGGATGCCAGGGGATCCTTGGGAAGGCTACCAATCCTTACCATCGGTGTCGACTGCACTACGAAGCTGGAACACACACACACATGGCTGGATCCGCCTCACTGCCACCAGACACCGCTGGCTGCCGAGTGGAAGCATTACGTGTGCATGCATTCCGCATGAGGCCTGCATTCATGCCGACCCAAATCTTTCCCTGTCCAAGGGTCAGGGAAGATACCTACCGCCTGGCAGCACACGAGGACAGTCTGCTACATGCAAGGGGTGACCCTGGGCAAGAGTGACCTTAGTGCGCGGCTATTGAGGGGGGCGAGTGGGGACCAAACACAGGCGCGCCGATGCTACCGCATCGCGCTCGGCGATCGGGGACCCCATTGGGTCCGCACCAAAGGTCCCTCTGGCGAAAGGTCATTCTCACGTGCAGTCGAGACAACTGCAGGCCTGGCTGGGTTCACAAGTGGAACATCCAAGAGGCCACGCGCTGGACTGGACACACACACACACACACGGAAGCCCTGCGCGCCAGGACACCAGGAGTGGCCGAGCGCTGTAACGACGCGTGGCCACGTGTGCATGCAACTCCCGCCCATGCCAGCAACGTCACGTGCATCCGGCCGGCTTCCTGGCAGAACCATGTGCTGATGTTGGCGTGTTGCCGAGAAGCTGGGGACCTACTCAGGGAAGGAGGAGAGGAGGAGGAGGAAGAGGAGGAGGAAGAGGAGGAGGAGGAGGAGAAAGAAGAAAAACCATGGGCCCGGAGTCGGCGATGCGTCGCCGACGGCTCGGCGATGGGCCCCCGACAGTGCACCCGCCCGCTCGCTTCTGGGCGGGGCGAGCCGGCCCCCCCAGCGGTCGCTGCCCCGCCGCCTCAGGCGCTCCTCGTGGTGCGGCGTGCGCGTGGAGAGGAGCCAGCGCTCGAACAGCTGGAGCGCCTGCCCGGGCGTGACTGCCCACCAGACCACCCCAGGTCGGACCCGAAGACCCCGATTTCGGGTTGGGGGGGGTGCGGGCTTCCTACGTGTTCTTCCCATGATCTCCCCGACTCCCCCCCCCCACTGGAAATGGGGGGCAAATCGGGGCCTTCGGGTTGGGTTGGGGTGGTTTGGTGGGCGGTAAAAGCGGGGGGCAAGATCATTCAGCATCGAATGGGAGTATCGGAACGGATCGAGGTGCTCATCGCATCGGGCTGCATCGGCACGGAATCAAAATGGGTTCAGATCGGCTGCGTCAAAATGCACGACATCGCCATGCAAACATCAGGCTGCATCGGATCGTCGGAAGAACGGAATCGGATTGGATAGAGCCGGCCAGAATCGACATCGAATCCGATATTAAAATGGACTAGACGGAACTACTCGGAATGATGCCCGCTTCGGCCGGTTTTCGACCACGGATACGCCAGGGCCGATGGTGAATCTAGCCTGCCAGAAGGAGGACAGAAAGGACGTAACGATGAACGTCACCGAACGTCGTCCAAATCGTCCTCACGAGCCACTTTTGGCGGGCCCATTGGATTGTACTGTGATAAAGCCCCTTCTTTTCCTGGCCTCCTTGCCAGATTGTGACTCTCTTTGGGTGTGGGAGTAACACACTGGGAAATGAATGGGGGAGGCGGAGGGAGAATGAGGAGAAGGTGGTGAAGGAGGAGGTCGGCTTGAGGAGGGAGGATGAAGAAGGAGGGAGGATGAACCCCTACTCTCCAACGACTTGTTTTTTTGTTTCACGGCGTGTTATCCTAGATTTTGGCTCTCAAGGTCCGTTGTCGGACAACGGGACCACAAGCAGAAGCTCCAGGGCTTCCGGGTTCTATGACACCTGCCCAGGCGGCTCCAGAGGGGCCCTAGGCCCTTAGGCCGTGTGCGTGGGTCCCAAACGAGGCTCCAGGGTGAGGATTGGGTGCGCAAGGGAAGTTATCCCCCTTCAACCTCAACAAGTATCCCGCAACCGGTGAAGCGACACCTGCTGCAAAATACGTGTGCGAAGGCGAAATCCTTCGGAGCCCCAGGGAGACCTCTGGGGGGCACAAGGGGCCACACGTAAAGCACAGCCGCGCAGTCGAGAAGGCACAATACGCATGAGAGGCCCGCACCAAGCTGCGACAGATGCGAGGCAGCGGCCACCTCACTGAGGGGCAGCCCGCAACACACCTCGCGGCCTGAGACGGAGTCCGCATTCCAGCCGGGACCACCAACCTCGCCAAGACAGACACGCGTTTGGCTCGTTCTGACTGGCGAGGGGTGCAGAAGATGAAGCACGTAAGGCGGAGGCGCCAGCCAGCAAACAGAACCACATCATCAGAAACGAGATGCCTTGAACAAGCGATACACACAAACACCCGCGGTGCAGGAATAGTTGGTCGGAACTCTCGCCGTTGTCATCTCTGGGCTTCACGAGGAAGCCTCAATACTCCTCTGTACGGAGATCGTTGGCCACACGGCGAGACACCTGGGCTGTGGGTTAAGAATCTCTGGAAATGGCGGAAAACGAACCAAATGGGCGGCCTCAAACTGGGCCGACTCCCCTTTGAAGTGTGACTGCAAAAACCATCGAACGCACAGGCGGAACACCAGCAGAAGGGGTGGATCGGGAACCCTGATGCACACCCGCCGTATGCAACACAGACTCTGCCAAATAATCTACCTTAAACTCTTCCTCGGGGGGATGGGAGATCCGAACAACGGGCGCGAGGCTTAGAAGCAAGCGGGGAATCCGTATCTGGACGGAAGTCGACATAGCGGAGGGTACACCATACCTAGCTGCAGATTCGGTCTCTTTGGGTGCTTTCCCCCCGCGGTCATGCTCCAAACACAGCTTCCAAGATTAGAGGCTTGACTGGAACACCTTCCTAAGGACCGCGGGAGCAGAACATCACTTGCAGCGGATGCAGAGAACCATCGTGGCCCCGCCACTGACTTCAGACGAGGCACACCGGCGACGGGCGGCCACATGCCGCCGAGACCGCCACTCAGGCTCAGCGACCTGAGAACCGAAGCAAGAACCCCTCAGTGCAAGCACAGCTTGGGGAATGCGGACTGACAAGATCACCCCTGCCAAGGATCAAATGCATTGGATCCTCGAGCAGGCTTGGTCGAAGGGACCACGGAGCTTCCCAAGAAGTCTCCCAAAATGGCTCCCCAACAGAGCCAAAGATGCTCCCAAGAGAGCCAACAGGGCTCCAGAGCGTCATCCTCGCCGTCGTCTCCGCCGCAGCCGCCGTCGTCGCCCCCCCGTCAAGGTCGGCGGCACCGGCCGTAAGGCCTTCCCAATCAGATGGCAGGCTTGGCCTAAGGTTAGGTCGGGCATGTCCCCCTACAGGCGGATTTTGAGCGAAAAATGAAAACAAAGGCCAAAAATTCTCCAAAATAGTTAAACATTGTAAAACAATCTCGTCCCCCGACTATTTTTTTCGGCTCTCCTCGGGGCTCCTCGACCTTGCTTGGCAATGCCAGGCAGTGCCAAGCAACGCCTAGCAACGCCGAGCGATGCCAGGCAATGCCTAGCCATTCCAAACAACAAATCCTAGCAACGATGCCGATCAACCAACGAAGACAAAAAGCGATGTCGAACGACGATTCCACATACCGGCTCCAAGCGAGGCCAAGCAATGCAAAGCAATAAACAGCAAAACTAGCCAATGAAAAGCAATGCATGGCTGCGCGTTGCTCAAAACTGGCCTGGATTGCTTCGGAAGGTCAACAGACCCCGAATCGCGGTCGGGCAGGGCTCATTGTTGTCCAGAGCGAGGCCCTCAGAAGTCCTGATCCTGTTTCTGTGGGCTGTTCGTCCTGAGACGACGCTCGACAATCCTGGGGCCCAACAAAGACCCCGAAACCCTGAACAAAACGGAACAACTTCCGCACGCTGACCAAAACATTGAAAATCTAGGAGCAAGGCTCGGCCTCAACCTGTCTTCGTTCCGCCTTTGCTGAAAACAAAACCACAACGAAAACGATGCACGAAATCGCCAAGCCACAATTTAGCTCAAGCCCTGTCCGGGAATTGTTTGGATTGTCTGGTTCACAGGGCCGCCTGAAAATTGCCGAACTACCCTGGGAACTCGAAATACGGCGAAATACTTAAGGATCTGCTTGCCTCGGGACCTACAGGGGTTGCTAACTTGTTAGGGGGGCTCTAATGGAGGGAATGAAACGAGGACCATAACCAAGACTGATCGCAGAGACGTGTGTGTTGATCTTAGTGATCGTCCATCTTGGTCATCCTCACTTCGTGGATCATCCTTGCGAATCAGCGACGGCCGGCATGAACCATAACCAAGACTGGCGTCGACAAGATCCCGTGAAATCTTGGCCATGGTCATCGTGTCTCTTGATAGGAGTTTATGCTATGGTGGGAGCTGAATCACTTCCCCAGAAACGGTTTTTCATCCCGAGTCGTTTTCTGTTGACGGCCCCGAGGCCTAGAAAGGGCTCCCCGGAGGTCTTGATCCCGTCCCACAAGAACTGCAATTCATCCTGAATCGTCTTGATGACGGCCCCAAGGCCCAGGAAAGGTGCCCATCGAGGCCGAACATGACGAACAACCGCCCGTCGCGATTTGTCTCACCACACGAGGGGAAAGAAGAAGAAACAACTGCATAAACATAAAGCTTGAGCGCTCCGCGCGGACTTTTTGGATCTGCGCGGAGCGCGCCAAAGGCGGCGCCGGAGGCGCCGCCGGGGGGGGGGGCCCAGCGCGGGTCCAAGAAATTAGCGCGGAACTGGGGAGACCAAAAGGAGCGCGGAACGCCGAAGGTGATGCCGTCTTTTCCCACTAGTGTGAGGGGCAACGATAAGGGGGGATGGGCATGGGGGGGGGTCATCGACCTGGAATCGGTGATACATCGTCGATAGATCGGCGATAGGCCTCCGATAGTGAATCCGCACCTTCGCGGGCAGGTTGGGGCTATCGGGCCCCTATCGGCGATCAATGGGCGATTGGGGGTCGATGCATCCCCCCTTGTGCCCATCCCCCCTATCGTGCGTTGCCCCTGAAAGTGCCGCCCCAAAAAGGCCGCCGAGCCCGCCTGCGGGCGGCGGGGGGTCCTATCAAAACGACGCGAAGATCGGGACAAAATCGGATCGGGATAACTCGAAATCTCTGAAATCGGCGGGTTTGGAGGATGTTTTGGGCGCTGCGGCCGCTCCAGAGCGTTCCGGAACGCTCTGAGAGCGCTCCGGAACGCTCTGGAGCGATTTATCCCGATCCTAGCCCTGTTTTACCTATGGCCCCCCCCCCGCGGCCTGCTCGACCCTCTGCGCGTGCAGCTTGGCCCACTCGGCCCCCGAGGGCGGGGCCTCGGCCGCCTCCGCCTCGCCGGGAGGGGGGGCAGCTGGTGGGCCTGTTGTCGTCCACCACCACCAGAAGTGGGAGGGGGAGGGGGTCCTCCTCCTCCTCTCCTTCTCCTCCTCCTCCTCCTCCTCCTCCTCCTCCTCCTCCTCCTCCGCCACCTCCTCCCCTCCTCCAACTTATGGTGGTGGTGGTACCAACACCAAAAGAGGCAGCATCGGAGGCCTGGAAATCGGCACCAACACCAGCAAAGGGGTTTGCCTCCGCAGGCGGAGGATGATCCTAGATTTCGGTGTTGGTGGTCATATTTTCGGCCACCTCGGAAGCCAGAATATCACCACCATCGCTGAGATCGGGATCGACTGCCCTCGGTGGAGGCACACCGCGGATATTGGTGTTGGTTTCAGCCTCTAGGCCTGCGACAAGAGATTCGCGGAGACGTCCTCGGCGCGCACGCTGCGTAAGTCGGCGGGCGCAGGCGACCCCTGGGCGCGAACGCATGGGAGGGGCGATAAGCAGGGGAAGGGGGGGGGTGAGACAGGTGCCCTGTTCGGGCCACAAAGGTCCCCTTTTGGGCTCCTGCTGGGTAGTCGAAGCCCATCTGGCGCCACTCTGGCAGGCCCAGTCTGGCAAACGGGGGCAATCTGGCGAGGGAGCCAACGCGAATCCAGTCTGGCGAATAACCCAAATCATCCAGTTTGGCCGGGCCAGATTGGCCCTTGGGGCCCAATCCAATCTGACAGTCTGGCCTTCGACTACCCAGTCTTGGGCCCGAGAGTGCCCCTTTCCCCTGTTCGGCAATCCTCGCTAACCCTCCCATACATCACCCCCATTACGCGAGGCACACGCCTCGGCCGCCTCTGCCTCGCCAGAAAGAGCAAAACTCGCGGAGACGTCCTCACCGCACATACGTTCTAAATCAGCGGGCGCAAGCGACTCTCGGGAATCTACTGACCCGAGTCAATCCATACCCGGGCCAGTCAGGCTTTGCAAGATCCCGAGAGATCCTGCAGGATCCTGCGCCCAAGCCCAGGGCCATGCAACCCTGGCGCTGCAAGATCCTGAAAACCCGGCGCTCTGACTGACGCCCGCTTGCATCGACTCCCGCCTCTTGACCCCCGAGACTCGACGAAGGTGCAGACGCTGGTCGGGCGACGGGCGGGGCATGCAGGGGTTGGGAAACAGGTGGAGGAAGGCGCGGGGAACAAGGCGAACGGAGACGGAAGCCGCTCAGAGCGCGTAGACCTTGCCAACCTCAGCGTGCAGTCATCGGCCCGACCAAAGGAAAGGTGAATCAGGAACGGAGCCCCTTTTCCTCCAAGGAATGACGAACAAGGAACGATGAATAAAACATCGCGCAGAAGGGACGATACATACCGCATGCAAACCTAAGGAACGACCGAGCCCCTTTTGAAGAGAAAGTGTTCCTTATTCAAGCCGCTCACTGTAGTTTCGTTGTTGACGAGGGAGAGGCGCCAGGAATCGTCGGTGGCAACCCGCGGGGGCATCCCATGCAGTCTTGCTGGCTCTTGCGAGTCGTCGCTGGCCGACGCCTGCTCGAAGATCGTCCACGCCAAACCGACACTCATCGAAACCAACTCGGCGCTGTCTCATCGGTTGCCAGTCGCTATCGCACGACTGCGCGCCAGAGATGACACTCCGAGGACATGCACCGACAAAAACCCATCTGACTGTTCCCACGCGCGCGAGCTCCGACCGGCAGGCAGAGAGCACACACATCGGGCAGCGCGGTTCCCAAGCATCCCTCCGCCACATGCAGCCGCTCGGGCGGGGGAGAGGGGCGACGCCAACGACGGCAAAGACGGAGGGAGCCAACGGGACGCGAGACCTCTTCGAAGCAGACACTGTGGAACAAATAAACCGGGATGGATCAACGCGGGTCGCTCTTGGAGCGGACCTTCTGTTTGGACAACGAGGTTGACGACGTCTTCCTCTCGAAGGGCTCTGCCAGGGCCCGACGCGGCTCGGAAGGCTTGCCACGATGGAGTCCGGGAGGAGTTTGGTCTCGGGCTCGATTCTTGAGCGCATCTTGATCGGACGACGGACGGACGGACGGACGGCGACGATGATGATGATGATGATGATGATGATGATGATGATCAAGATGTTCTACTGGTTCTGAGTTCATTTGGGCCCCCCAGGAGCCTGCGGGGAAGCTCCGAAGAACACCAGAGACGCGGCCGACGACGATGCGACCGGCTCTCCCTCACCTCCCTCCTCTTTGCCCCGATGTCGTCCTCCTCCTTCCCAGGCGAAGACAGGCACAGCAAGAGAAATTTTGATCTCAATCCTCGTCCCCATGTCCGAATAACACTCTCGACTGAAATTGTGTGCAAATTTGGAGATGTACGACGGAGCGCACACACCCGTTTCCGACATGGATGCGTCCAAGTAAACTCGTGTCGGCCTTTCTCTGATATTCCAATGTGTTTGACAGATCTCATTTTTTCGGCGAACTCGGGAAGTCGAACATTGGTAGCGAGAGCCCGCCCATGAAGGCAAAGGAGGAGGGGACCTAACAATTCCATGATATGTTTTTGTTGTTCACTCCGCGGCCCCAGAATTCTTGCCCTCTTCCATGGGGGGGGGGAGAGATTTTGCAACCCAGGTCCGTACGTGGTCCTGGCTCCCAACATCGGGCCCAGGAGACCAAAATCGAAGGATATCCCGAAAAGCAAAAAATACCGCATGAAAACACCCTGATAACAGCAACGGTAAAGAGTCGGATCGAGGAGGAGTTCGGCTACCGAGAACGCGCATACCTGAGCATCCGAAGGGTGAGAGGACGCCCGTGTGAGCGAATATCGAAAACGGGCCTTACGCGAGCTGGCATAGCGATCATACGCCGCGGTTTACGCTGGCCGCCAACGTGGCACGCCACACCAGAAACGATGGCGCCTGCGCGCGACTTCGCGCGGGCAGCTTCACGCGTTAACGTCGGCGCAAACGACTCCGTTTATATGTGTCGCTCATGCGCACCTCCAACGAGGAGGAGGAGGAGGAGGAGGAGGAGGAGGAGGAGGAGGAGGAAGTGGAGGAGGACCAGGAGGAGGAAGAGGAGGAAGAGGACGGGGAAGAGGAGGAGGATGACGGGGAGGACCGACCAGGCGGCCGAGTCGTGCAACCGCGGGCGGGAGCACGGGCCAACATTGGGCCAAGCTCCCACCAGGACGGACCAGGCCATGCCGACGCGAAGGGTGGCGCAAAACTATTGAACGACGTCCAATGGCATCCCAGTCCTGGGATGCTTATCAGCCCGCACACGAGAGACCTTCTACTTCTGCCTGCTGCGGGCTGGGTGGTGTTCAGAGGGTCCTAGACACTGGTCATAACTGAGCCTACAATTGGCGACCTGGCCAAAGGACACTTGATAGGAACCGCACAGGAGGGCACACGCCAGCGCGCAACGGGTCAACAGAACCTGGTACCCATTGAGCTCGACAGTAGCTTCATCGAGCGGCACGCTGACGCCATCGGGACCCAGATTCGCATGATCAGCACCCTCGCCGCCAAGGAACTCGTCAGAGAAATCTAACGCAGCCTGAACAGCGCGGGCACGTAGGGGTGGGGCCCGCTGGAGCTGGAACCCCCCTTGGGCCTTCAGCCTCTGTCGGGCCGTGGACACGCATTCGGTCAATGATATCTTGTCGCGGCTAGCTGAGGTCCTGACAACAGCCAACCACTCGTTACATTGGAACTGGGGCCCCCTGGTCATCACACTGTGCCTCGTGAGCGCTACAGAAGCCATGGGGGCCTGAACATGCACAGCGCGCGCGGGCCTATAACTCACAGCGTTGCGATAAGCCATCCCAAGCGCGCGCCATGCCATAAGCTTAGCCTCCGTCAGAGCGCTCCGAAGCATGCTCTCACGCGACACCACCAACGCACTGGACACAGCATGGGATGAAACACTTGGCTTGGCAATGTAGTCGGCCCATTCGTTGCCCAGCAAATACCCCCAAGGATGCAGATCCATTTCAGGGAACTCTGCCTTGGTCTTGTGGTCAGGGCGCCAATGACAAGGGGTCGGCTGTTGTCCTTGCAACAGATTGAATACAGCGCGCCAGAAGCTGGCGCACTGCGATGGGGGCGTCCGCACGCACAGCAATCCACCGACCGCCCCCCTGAGCCAAGCCCGAGGGTCCATCACAACAAGCGACGCTGCAGGTAGGGGCTTGACTGCGCACAACAGCGCCATGCGCTCAACGCGGCCTACTGTCTGAACCGGCCCCGGTAGCGGGCCATGACCAGCACGCATCGGAAGCCCATTGCCGCCCATCTGGCAGAAACCCCGCCACCCCTACGAATTTCTGGCCAGGATGGGGCCATGCCGGACCCATCCGCGCACGCAACCGTCGTCCAGCTCATCAGATCCCCAATCACCCCAGAACGTAGCCGAGGCCTCATGAGGAAGTCGCGGGATAAATTTCGGGCACAGCGGCATGCACATGCATGTAAAATTCCAATCCAAACCCGGACAGCTCGAATTGCACCCGCGATCCTTCAGATACTCCTAGACGCGGTTCAATGTGGGGACCCATTGGAAGTCCTCATCAAGAGCGTCCTGGTAGAAGCTTGGGCAATCAAAGAACGCGTGTCCGAGAGTGACATTATCAGCCGAACACCGTGCGCACCTAGCAGGTATGTCGTACCCTGCCTGATGATGTGTGTGCCTGGCCCAGATCGCGCCAGACCACAGCTTGTGTAGAACGCCAGCGAAACGGGGACTGCGGACTGTGGCCCTGCGCCTAGACACATTGAGGCAACGAACGCACCCGTATCCTCTCATCCCCCACTGATATATGTATATATATATAGATATATATATATATATGAATACATATGTGATGTGGCATGATGCATCCACCCTGCCACCGTTCCTTCCCATGCCGAGCTAATTCTAGTGCAGCTTCAGGCGCGAATAAACGCTGGTCGATGGCGTCGGCCTCGTCGTCAGACCCGAACGCACGATTGATTGCAAAAAACGAAGGATTGCAAAAAA